TTGTGCAATATGTCTAATACAATAGACATGGACAAAATTATTTTCTGTCCAACCCCTTCCATTTCTGTAGTATGCACGTCTTATGGCCTCGTGACGACCTGAAATGAGGCACAACCCATCTTGCAGGGTTACGTACCTTCTTAAGTTTCTCAAAAAAAAAAAAAAAAGAATCATGCATAACTGGTTTCACCTTCAACCATAGTAAAGGCAATGGGAATTATGTTAGTTCGACCGTCTTGCGCAAATGCCACCTATAAAATCCCTTTGTATTTGCAGTACAAAAATATTTCATCCACTTGAACAATAGGTTTGCAGAAACAAAACCATCAATGCATGGCTTGAAGATCGAAAACAACTTTTTGAAGAATACATTCCCCTCGTCCAACAAGTCACCCTGGTATAATGGTTGTGTACTCAATTTTCAGATGAAATCCAAGACATACAGTTGCATTGCTTGCAACATACTAGGTAAATTTTCATAACTAAAATTTTAATTTTTTTCTTGTTTTATTTTATTTTACATATTATCTTAATTAATAAAGTTAAATTTATTTGTAATTTTTATGGGCGTCATATCAAAAGTTGCAAACATCAATGCCTATGGAAGCGTACAGAGATGTCCAAATGCGGACTTCATATACCGTCATCCTTTGTTTTGCGATTGTTAAATGGCACCAATCAGATAGAGTCAAATTACAATTTTGACTCTTACAAGAAGTCGTTTCTCCACCCAATAATTTGGATGATCTCTATACAATTGACATGAGAGGAAGACAGGATGAAAATTAGATCACAAAACTTGCTCGATGGATCGATGTGTGGAACAACAGATGTGATATGACATTAACGGGTCATCCAATGTCAAGCCCATTGTGTTACACACAAGATTACATGGAATGGTACATTGCTAATTCCATCTATTTTTTATTTGTGCCACCACTATTACAAGATCCAAGAAAGAGCCATCAACAGTTAGGGACTACCACAACATTTGACACCGGTACGACTTCCACACTGTTGTACACGACACTGCATCAATTCCTCCACCGGATATCACGCCAGATGCAAACATAATGGACAAAAGACATTCATTTACAACAACTTCGGAGAATTTTTTACAAAATACAACTTCATCTTCATAACAGAGTTACATGTAGTCTCTTTACCAACCAGAGTTTGCTAATGAACCTCAACCGCATTCCAACAACTAGAATTTAATAATCCTCCACAAGTTCATCCTAAATTTTCACAGCAACAATCACAACGACGAAACTCAGCATATAACAGACGTCACCCTCGTTGTGAAATTGGATATCATTATAGAAATAGTGATAGTGAAAATCACTAATGAATGTTGTTATCAATATTGTGTTAAGTGTTTTTTTGTTAAATATTTAATGAATTATGATTTCTTTTAAATATATATATATATATATATATATATATATCTACATCATATTCTTTATTTATTTTATTAATATTAATAACAAATTTTATATCCAAATATTATAACCATAATTTTAAAAATTAATTAGGTATATATTTTAATAAACATATAAACAAAATATTCTTCATTATTTTTCTTCATCTTATATACAAATTTTATATTTTTTGAATCAGATACTCAAAATATTATTATCATATTAATATTCAAAATTCATAACACAAAATTACATATTTAAAAAAATATATATAAACAAAATATTCTTTATTATTTTTATTCATCTTATATACAAATTTTATTTTATTTAATAAAATATTGATTCAAATTTTTTTTATCATATTAATACTCAAAAAATATATACCCTTATATTCTTTATTATTTTTATTCATTTGATATACAAATTTTATTTTTTAAAAATCAAATACTTATTCAAAATAATATTATCATATTAATATTAAAAATTCATAACACAAATTTACATATTCAATAAAATATATCAACATAATATTCTTTATTATTTCACATATTATAAATATATAAATATTATTTCAGACAAATTAACATAATATAAATATTTATTTTCACATAATATATAAATATAAATATAATTCAAATAATAAAACTTATTTTATTATTTAAAATTAACTAAATATTTATAAATATTTATTAAATTTCACAATATATAAATATATAAACATAAAAAATACATAATATTTATTTTATTATATAAAAATAAAAAACTAATCAGGAAAAATTTGGCTATTTGAGCAAAATATAGGTAATCAGAATTTGGTCCCCAAAGACATAAATTCTGAACTTGTACACGTAACAAGTCTAGTTGAATAGATATAGTGGGGTTAGATCTATTTTAGTATATATTTATTTTTTTAATATTTTTTCTATAAAAAAATGTATATCTTCAGTTCTTCCCTGGGAATGTAATCCCTAGGAAAGGCATTAATGGAATCTTGCAAAGTTTTCTGTTTCTATTGATTAGACTCTTTGGAACCAAAAATAAAATATATTTCATAAAGTTAGTAAAGAGCTACAGTATGTAATATAATTGATTCAAATAAGATCTTGGCTGGTTCAAAGCTAAGAAGGATTTTTTCTTTCACTCGTTCTATGAATGGAGTATAACTCCTTTGTTGTGCTAGAGATAATCTCTCTTGAAATCTTACGGAAGATCTAATATTGTGAATGTGTTCCTCATAACTCGTTGCAGTTAATTTAAGCTGACCTTTGAGACAAATACTCATATTTAATATGGTTCATTCTGTTGGTTCTTATCTCTTCAAGTGCTTTGGCAAAAATTGTTTTTCATTTTGACTATTTGGTGACTTACTAGAAAGTGTACAGAAGGCTTATCAAAGATACATTCTGATAGCTGTCATTTATTCAATCGTGATTAATGATGTATGGTCACATAACATGGAGGCAGACTTAATAAGGGGTTCTTTCAAGATGTGTACAAATATCAAAAGAAATTTTAGGAATTGAATACCAAATTCTAGCTTGGGAAATGCACTTGAAATGTTTGTATTTGGGAGCTGGTGTGGTAATATTGAGTTCTGTGTATTCTTTCTTAATGATGTATGTTAAATATGATGTGTTTTTTGTGTTGTATTGAAAAACTTTTGGGGTAATCACATCTTGTCTTATCACATTTTTTTTCATATTTTTTTCTTATAAAAAACCAAAAGACATTGTATTATTCAATTTACTGTGAATATGTATTGCAAATTAAAAAATTGAAATTATTTTTATTTATAATTTGCACTAAATTATAATTTATGCTTTTAATTAATATGCAAAATAAGTTTTTTTATTTAAATTTATTATGTGTTGATTTTATTTATTTAATAAGTGTTGTCGTTAACTGAAAAATTATTCATTACAGAAATTCATATATTGATTTGGGACTATATTCTTATTTGCTTAAAAAAATAATCGACTTAATTCAAACAGTAAAAATGCAAATGAGATTGATTCAAATTTAATATTATTTTAAATTGATCTAAATTATTAATATGTAATTATTTGTTTATAATTTTTTTATCATTTGTTTATGATTAAATTGACTATTTTATTCTTGACAAAAAATATATATTTTATTACATCACAATTAATTGAAATGGAACCACGATTACTTTTATTTTCTGTCTGTACCATATCAGTGAGTGAGACAAGGTCATATTGGGCCAATCTAATTCCTGTATGCATATGAGTGAGTTGGACCTGTGGATCCATCCGAAGCATAATCCAAACTTAATTAAAGACTCTAAACTTCATGCGTTTTGTTTATGTTGACCTAACAAAAGGAAGAACTTTATAAGCAGACCTAAACAGGAGTATATATTCCAATCAATCTGCAAGTTCCTTATTCAATAGTAAACGCTAAATACCATAAATAATGTGCTGTAAAGTTGACCGAACATCCCTTCTTTTCAGCCTCAGGAATTTCTTTTTTGATAAGAGAGTTCTTGTTTACAAAGAAAATATTTGTAGCATAAGAAAGTTAACTCTCACAAGTGATTTTTTGTATACATAAAACTTTTGATCACTTGTATTAATCACCCATTAATACTTAAACATAGCTTGTAAGGAATTGTGCAAGATAAAAATAATTAGTATTAATTGAGTTTTAATTTGCTTACTACACGCTAGTGGAAACAACTGGTCATAAATAAAAATAATCAATGCCATATTAGAATATACGTACATAATTTAATATATGGACCATTTCCAATAGACCCCGAATTTCAGTATTCATTAAAAAAAATCTAGTTATATGATCCAGTCACATGTGCCTGGGAATTTTGCAGTAATTCGCAAATGTCAATAGCACCGAACAAAATGTTAAAGTTACAGGTTAATTGAAAATAAAAAAATTATTAATACATATTTATCGTATTTTAATATATTTTTAACATTATTAAGAAATAAATAATTCAAACATAATTTTTTAATAAAATATTTATTTAATTTTTAATTATAACCATTAAAATATTAATTATTAAGATTCTTATGATTTACATCTTTAATTTTTCACTAATTGTGATGGAAACATTTAGTTTTGTGGGACGATAATGGAACATTCATAACTGCAGAAGCTTGTTGCTGAAAACACGACGCAAGAGGGTTTAGGAATATATGAACAGTGTTTAACAAGTAATTATATATTGAATATTTTATTTTTGGTATGTAATCACGACTATAAGTGATCGAAAATAAAATAGACCAAGCTTGACCAGCTTTTTCATTTCAGGGTTCATATTCCGTGTTTCCACCACTCAGTCCAACCACAAATCAGTGTCTTCACTTCAACCATGGAATTACAGATAAAAATATAATAATATTCACCAAATCACTAGTGTTTGCCACATTTCTCCTTTCACTATAAAATGCCATAATTTCTTGAGTCCTATCACCCCTCAACCAAGCTCATTACCTCCTTCCTTTAACAAAGCTATTATCATTCATTCTGTCTCATTTTCCTCTCTTCTTTTAAATCACTTGAAAACTCTTGCATGATTTATCCATCCCATAACTATTCATGATGGACTCACACAAGCAATTATTTTCCCTCTTATCCATTTCCCTAGTACTTCTACTCCTCTCAGGTATGATTATGAATATATCACAAATATCTCATTCGAGCTCCATAAATAAAACACTATAATGAGTCTTTGATCCTCTATTCAATATTTCTTATTGTTCATTATTTTACGCAGGATTGCAATCTGAGGCTCGTTTGCAGAAGGGTCACGAGCTAAATTACGCACCCAAAAAATTGTTCATTTTTGGGGACTCTTATGTTGATACTGGAAACAATAGAAAAGGTCAAGCTAGATCCTGGCAAGTCCCTTATGGCATTACTTTTCCGGGCAAGCCTGTCGGTAGATTCTCCGATGGTAGAGTACTTACAGACTACATTGGTACTCTCTCTCTCTCTTCTCTAATGTTAAATTATTGAAACAGGTACTATGAAGTGCATGCTTGTTGGTTTATTTTCTTTCTATTGAAGTGATGTGTTTGGAATTTTGGTGCTTTGCACAATTCCTATATAATATATGATACAGCCATACTTCAATCTTAAATATAGTTTTGGAAAGGGCAGGGCTCATTCATCTGGTGGCTTGCCACTTTACCTTTTTTTTTCTATTGTTCTGTTTACAAGATTTTGTATATATCTATATGACGTTGTTCCATTTTCTAACTCGCCAGCTAAAGGCTACATTTTCGATTACCCAAAACAAAAGCTACATTGTTGTCATTTCTTTATATTCAGACTGTGTTTATTAATATGGTAACGTTTCACGCTACGGATCTATACATATTTTACTTGTATTCTTCGTCTTTTTCTTTTTAATTTTTCTTAAAAAAAACTTTTGTCTTGAACATTTTTATTTAAGGAAAAAATAGATTAAATTTTTTATATTCTTATTATTAGGTTTTGGACGTATGAACATTTTAAAAAATTTTCATGGTATTCGTAATGAAGCTTATTCAATATTTAAAAAAAAAAGAGCTTGTTTCTGTTTGATTTTGAAAAATATTGATAAGGATATAAAGAATTTAACTCATGTTTCATCCTTTATTAAATTATAATTTTGAAATTCCAAACAAAATCATAGATAGGACATTTTTATTGGCTAACTATGATAGGATTTCTCGTTTCTAACAAATAAAAATTAAATAATGTTGCTACTAGCTGGCCCTATTCTAACTTTTTGAACTCCCACGTTTGGACCCAGATGCACGCTGTCTATATATAATGTGTTAAATGTTAATCCTCGCTTATCTATCTACGGCACCCTTCTCTATTTTATTTAGCCACCTTTACAGCTTTGTCCGTAAAAGTAAAAGCACTGTTGTTATGATTTCACTTATTTGTTTATTGAAAAAGTGTAAATGATATATATATGAACCATCTAAAAATAAGGATAAATAAATAAAAAATCAAAACCATATTATATTTTATTGAAATACTTTTATATATATATATATATATATATATATATATATCAAAATATAATATTTTTTAAAAAAAATTATGAAAATATAAAATTTAAAAATTGTCAACAATAATTTTTAGTGTAAATATTAATAGAACAACAAAAAATTACAAAATTTTAAAAATCACCACCAGTTATTTTTAAAAAGATATTAAAAAATTATAAAAATAAAAAATAGCCATGGCAATATTTAGAAAAATCTCATATTTTTGTAATTTTTCTCAGAACATCATATTTTGGTAATTTTTTCATTTTTTCCATATAAAAAATACCCTATTTTATTAGTTATTTTACTTTATTTATTTATACACTATAATTGATTTTTAACAATGCAATATAGTTTTCGTACAAAAATATTTATTCTAAATAAAGCGAAAATAATATTTTAAAATAATTTTGTTTCATATCTAATAGTAGTTAATCATAATAATTTTATGTATAATGTTAGAAGTCTGAATCATTGCTAATGAGCAAAACTACATGTGGTGCAGCTAATTATTTGGGATTGAAATCGCCAATCCCCCATAGATTGAGGAAATTGATGCCGCAACATTTGAAATACGGGATGAACTTTGCATTTGGAGGTACCGGGGTTTTTGATACCTCTTTTAAAGCTCCAAACATGACAACCCAAATCGATATGTTGCAGCAACTCATCAAAGAGAAAGTATACTCTCCCTTAAGTCTCAGCAACTCTGTGGCCCTTGTCTCTGTTGCCGGAAACGATTACACTCATTACGTGGAAACAAATGGCTCTACACAGGTTTGTTAATTTTAATAATCTATGACACCTACTCTCTTGTCATGGTCCATTCTATCATTTTCATTTTTACTTCACACCATTCAGTTGTTTTTCTCTTGAAAAATTATGTTAACTATTCTTATTCGTTCGTCAATTATAAAATTTAGACATTGGCTTGCAGTACTTATCTTCGGTAATGCTTATGCTATTTTCTAAAACTTATTTTCTCTTGATAATTTCTGTCAATTTTAATTATTGAGATGAAGATATTAATTATTGAAACAAAATATTAATTTTTATTAGAAAATAACATATATCTAACTGTATCTACATTTTTGTTGAGCTCAATTCTATTATTTACATTTTTACTTCACATAATTAAAAGTATGTATTGAAAAATAGTGTTAATTATTTTTGTATTCTTTCACAACTAACGTTGGCAAGAATAAAATTTGGATATAATATTTTGAGGATAATCGACATTGTTCTTCAATTAAAGTTTTTCATTTCGTTAAGTGTTGCCAATTTTAATTACTAAGATGAAGAGAGCAACTATTTAAACAAAATGTTAATTTTTTTTATTGAAAATTACCATTAACAGTGCCTTAAAGTAAATTGTATGTAACTTGTTACTCTTCTTGTTGAATATATATAGGGTTTTCCGTCTTTCATCGCCTCACTGATTAATCAAACCGCCACCAATTTAATTCGCATCCAAAGGTTGGGAGTGAAGAAAATCGTTGTGGATAGTCTACAACCCCTTGGATGCCTTCCTGCTTCTACAGCCTCATCCTCATTCCAACAATGTAATAGTACCTTCGACGACCTCGTAGTTCTCCACAACAACCTATTGAAAAAAGCTGTGACCAAGTTGAACCAACAAACCAAGGATCACTCCACCTTCATAATTCTTGACCTTTATGATAGTTTCATGTCAGTGTTGAACCACCCTTCTACTAATCACATTAAGGACCAGTTCAAGCCATGCTGCGTTGGGGTAAGTAGCCAATATCTTTGTGGTAATGTGGATGAGCACAACGTGAAGAAATACAAGGTTTGTGATAATCCCGAATCTGTTTTCTTTTGGGATTCGGTGCACCCATCACAAGCAGGTTGGAATGCAGTTTATAATAAGTTGCAAATGACAAGTGCTCTTCAACAACTCCGCTACTAGAGAGCTATGCGTGATAGCTATATTCCTCACTTTGTTTTTTAATAGTGCACCCTCTTTCCATTTGTTGATTTTTCCTCATACTTGAGTTTTGTGTGTGTTTATTCCCAATGCTTTCTATGCAATGGGTGCACTGTTCAAATATATTGTTGTTTTTGTGAAGGAAATGAATCTATAACTTGCTGAATTTGTTTCGCAATTATTCTTCTTTAATGATAAAATAAAATTGAAAATGATGATTCAAGTTAACTAATATGGTACGGACTATGATCATAAGCAAAATTTACTTATAGTGCCAATTGTTCAAATATTGAATTCGCCGGTTGACAGAGAACTTTATCTAACTATCCGAATCCAAAAGGTTAGTCACACGTCTATATCTAAGGGAATATTATTCTAAAATAAAATCTTATTTCATAAGATTACTTAAAATATTTAAAATTAAGAAAGTGTTCAATGTTCATACGCACGGTTTTGCTCTTTCTTCTTCATTTTAATGTATTCATATCATTATCAAAAGACAGCCTTTAGCTTCTATGTTCAACTTGCTAAACTGTAATGCATTAACCACTTTTTAAAATAATAAAAAAAATAGCGTATAATGTAAGCATATCACTCAAATAGTAAAATAATCTATCCTTTGCTTAATTTTATGTTTGTAATACTCTTCAAAATTACATCAGCATATATTCATGCATTATGCATATTTTTTTATTATTTCAAACATTGCAATATATGAAAATTCTTCATGTAATTAACTGAAGTATACTAATTGAAAATCTGCTTATAGAAGTTTTACGATTGAATCTTGCTAGTTGCCTTTTTTGCAACCGTAGATATTAAACTTATTTAGAGGGGTCACCTTAAAAATTGCTGAATTACTTAGTACCCTATTTCTATAAAAACTTCTCTTATTTTTTAAAACATATATTTTAAATTAACATGCATATGGATCTCCTTTATATTTTTAAATATTTCCTCTTAGATTATATGTATCTCTAGGTGTTTTGTGATTAAGGCTTAATTTAGATATATTTTTTAATAAAAACATATAAGGAAAAAAGTAAATAAATAAAAACTTTTCTAAGAATCAAAATCAACTTAATATATCATCCTTTTTAGAATTTTTTTTATTTAATCTTTTTTAACTGTTAAGATGTTTAACTAGCCCTAATACAATTTAATTTTTCTGGTAAGTCTATTTCAATCATTTTCTCACAGGATTAAAAATTTTCTAATCTAAAGTGGTCAATTCATCTCATAGTTAATATTAAAGAGCTTTAAAAAACTAGTGTAATTTAATATTTATTTTATGTAAATTGTGCAGTATCAAATCTAATTTTTGTTTTACTTTTAAGAAAAGTCCACCAAATTATTAGAGGCGCTCATTGTCCGGTTATGACTCACGCTGCAACAATAATATTAACAGTTAAATTAATGAAATTTCTAAAATGAATAAATGTATGTATAACGTGACAAATAAAATTTTATTATCTTTTTAATTTTAATTAAAATATTTGATAAATATAATTAACTTCAATTTAACTCCGAATTAACTTTTATTACTTTTTTACTTTACATATTCTCACATGTAAGAAAATTCAAATCAATGATTAAATGATCGATTTTAAAAAGGACCAATCAGATTTTAAAATATATTGATTAAAATACATTTTCCTTTTCTTTTGTTGGAAAAAGTTGTATGAAAAATGTAATTCAAATTTAAATGATATGCTGTGCCAAAAAAATTCAAATGATATACACATACTAAATATTGCTGTATAATTTATACTCATTAATGGGAGATTATTTATTTATATATGAGATTTAAAATTTATATATATAAAATATGATATTTTGAAAAAAATTATAGAAATATGAGATTCAAAAGTCGGTAAGTATAGATATTAATAGAATAATGAAAATTTTAAAAATTTTAAAAATTGTCACTGATAATTTTTTAAAAAATTATAAAAAGTTAATATTTATTAGCAGAAATTTTTCAAAAAAATAATAAAAAGTTTTAAAAATAAAAAATTATTAATAATAATTTTTTAAAAGTAAAACGTCATTGCACATAATTAAGTAAAAAATTATCGCTAACAATTTTTTAAAAATTTTCATATTTTTATACTTTTTTCTAAAATATCATTTTTCCATAAAAAAAACCCATTAATGGTTACTGGAGTCATTCACAAATGCAAAACACGTTCCATGAATCCGCCGTCCCTTCCGTCAACATTTTCACGTAATTATGTACCTTTCATTATTAATTTCATTTGTAAATGAATTTATGTTGAAAATACAAAATATCACGTGCATTATTCAATAACTTTTCATTTAAATAAATTCTAAAAATTAATTAAAATGAAATATTTAAATATAAAAAATGATTTAAATAAATAAGTAAATAACACAAATAATTAAGATTTATAATGACAAAGGAAAAAATAAAATTTTAAAAATGGTAATATAAAATCTTAGTTAAAGAAAAAAATTTAAGAAAAATTTTAATGTCAAAGAAAAATTTTAAAATAATTAATAATTTAAAGATCATATGTTTTATTTAGTCACTCAAGGGCAGCCTACCTAGGTTTTTTCACCCTTTAGTCAAATCAAAGCTATAAATGTTCCTACAAAACTTGAGTATAAATTTAATTATTTGAAATTAAAAATATTGTTTTATTTTATATAAAATGAAGATTTAACATTATTATAAACTATTTAAATAAAAGTATAGTTTTAATTAAAATACTAAATATATTTTTAAAAAACTATACCTAAATTTTGTTCTAATTATTCATGGTCATTTCACTATAAAAGCGTGTAAGTTCTCACTTCTCGCGTTCAGGTTAGCAACTTCCTCTCCCACTTTCCATTTTCTGCGTGTTCCTTCCCTCAAAGCTATATGATCATTCAGTTTAATTTTTTTTCTTTTTTATAACTTTAAAGAACTTGCACGTCTGGCTCCATTCCATAGCTATTAGCTCAATATGATGGACTCAAACAATCAACTATTTCTCCACCTGTACCTTTTCTTAGTTTTTCTTCTCTCAGGTGTGATTCATGAATACAAATCTTTTTAGATGGTTAAGCATGAGAGAGAAAGACGAACACATTCTTTTTTTATCAGTTCTACACATATCGTGAGACTCAAAAATATATATTTTCTCTCTCTCTCTCTCTCTCTCTCTCTCTCTCTCTTATTAAATCATCCAATTACTAAAGAGTTTTTAACTCAATATTTTCATTAGAGTTTTGAATAGTAGTCACATTGCAGGCACAATAAACCAATGCATGCTAGTTTTAATTAGAGCACTAAAATAAGTGAATTCAACTAACCTCGTCTAAATATAGTCGTTGAAATACAATTTTGAGTCATTAATTTTAAGATTTAAATAAATTTTTTTTCAATTTGACTCAGTTAAGTTTACGTACAAAAATTGAGTTTAATGTAGACGGACTTATACGAGTTTGAACTGGCAGGCTAATTTTTATTTTTAATTTTCTAAATGTTCATATTTTAGATTCTTTAAATTATACAATCTACTTTTCTGTTGTTTGATTTATTACTATTGTTAGTACGTCTTTGTCATACTTATAATTATGTGAATCAACACTCATTAATTGTTACTTGCATGGGCCCAAGCTTAAACTACTTATTTTAAAAGTATAAATAATTTTGAAGATTTTGAGCTTAATTCACGTAAACCTATTACTCACATTAAGTTGGGCTAAGCTAGATTAGATTATTATTATTTTTATAAAGGAGAAGGGGTGAGATTGGAGGAAGGGGATAGCTCGTGATTTTTGCATGTAATAGAGTTTGAATTATGCTCCTTCCATTCCAAGTCCCTCTAGTTTTACCACTAACCACTCAAATTGTCGTAGTGCATTGTGCATAAGCAATTTCTCCCAAAAGTAGGGCAGGAGAATAAACTAACCCGATTTGTCACCCTTGGATATATTATCTGTACAAATGACTTTCAATGTTTGAAAATATTTACTTTCACCACACCAATATTTCACAATGATATGTTATATTTTTAATATTGTAAAAATTTATGGTGTAAAAACAACTTGTCTTGATCAAGAGATAAATCATGATATAGGACAAAAGGGGCTACTGGGTGAGGCTGGGCCAACAAAATTGTTCGTTTTTGGGGACTCGTATGCAGATACTGGCAATGGCGATTATTTATCTTGTTCCTGGAAAGAGCCTTATGGTATAACCTTTCCCGGCAAACCTGCCGGAAGATTCTCCGACGGCAGAATTCTCACCGACTTGACCGGTACGCACTCACTCTTGTCAAGCCAGATCAGATGGAATACTATTTTTCATTTTCCCCTTACTTCATAGGATCATTATAAATTTATATTTCTTTATTAGAAGTTGCGCGATTTGTAGTTTGGAATTTGTTATAAGCTATCACTGCCTAAATCATTACCAAAACTATCAAATATGTGAATCAGTAGTTGGTCAAAGATTATTTCACCCTAACTTAATGAATGAATATAAATTTTATATCAGTTATCAAAAATAATAATTAATATTAATATCAAATTAGATATTGTTAATGCTATTAATTTAACAATTTATAATTATCAGCGTATTTAAATTAAGTTTTTATATTTATATTAACAAAGTAAGTTAGTTTTAATATATATATATATATATATATATATTTTTTTTTTCTTGTGTCAAATTAAATTGATAATTTTCTTCAATGAACTCATTATTTAAATATATTTCCATTTTAAATTTTTAGAAATATTTATGTTTCTTCAATTAATAATAAATATAATGAAAATGTTATATATAATTGATATTTCTTTTGATTAATGAATTAAATCTGACAATGAATAAGAACATAAAAATAATTTAATTATTAATGCATCTGAATATAAAATTTTGTATTTTATATTTAAAATAAAAAAAATAATGATAGGTTTTTCTTATAAAAAAAAAACTAAAGGAAGTATAGTGTAAAATGATTTTATAAGATTTGAAACTTCCATCTATTTTAAAGATAGAATTTTTTTAAAATACTTTTGTTTTGGATAAAATATGATGTCTTGGTTTATAGGTTTTAAGTGAAAATTGTTTAATTTGTCTATTTGTCTTGTAGTTTTTAAAAAAATTGTTCAACTAACATTTAACCTATAAATTATGGTTTAGTTTAGGTAATATTTATTTTATGGGTTAGAAACAATTTATCTTCTCAAATTTTAGAGAAGATAAATGAAAAAGTTAAATGAGAGAACTTTTCATAATTTTTTAAAAAAATTATAAAAAATATAAATTATTTCTAATTTATAAAAAAATTATTCATTTTTTATAATAATTTTTGTTATCTAAACTTTTTTTAAAATTTACTCAAATTAAATCATAGTTACTTATAATTTTATCTTACTTTTACTTTTACCTATAAAAATCTTAAATTTCTCTCATCTTATTTAATTCTATTATTATTTTACTATAGTATTTACATACTATTTTTAATTATTTAATACGTTTCAACTAATTTTATAAAATAATTTTAATTTAATGAGCAACTTCTAAAACTATAAAGCTTTCATTTATAAACTTTAAATAGAACTGACGTATAAGTAATGAAATATTTTATACCCGTATCGTCAGCAAACTTTCTCGCTGACAACTTACAGTAATTTCTTGAAGTGAGGCCATTGACAAATTCTTGACGTAATTCCTCGTGAAATGGCTAAATTAATAATTAAAACTCCATGAGATGCAGCTGCCTACTTGGGAGTGCCATCGCCAATCCCCTATAGATTGGGAAAACAGAAGACACAACAATATTTGAAACATGGGATGAACTTTGCCATTGGTGGTACCGGTGTCTTTGATACCTCTACTCCAGTTCCAAACATGACATCCCAGATTGATTTGTTTCAGCACCTCGTCAAACGCAAAGCGCCCCTCTCCTTAGATCTCAACAACTCTATGGCCCTAGTTTCGGTCGCTGGAAATGATTACGATCATTACTTGACCACAAATGGCTCTATTCAGGTTTATTTATTTATTTGAATTGTCTTTTTTATGGTTCTCTCATCTCTGGGACTTTTTCATAATTTTCCTCGAAAAAAAAATTCTTTGATAGATAAGTATGATTATTTTAGACATTTTTCTTTGCGTATTCTCTAAAGATAGATTTATATACTGGCATGCATGATGTATCCGTTGGAATGAAAGAAACTTAGATATGAAAATTATGTGATTATAAGTTCGATCTTAAATTAAAATGTATGGAAATAATACTGTTGGAAGGAATTTCTTATTTTAGCATCTTACTGTTTTAAAATATTAATCATTGACTTGTAAATTAAAAGGCAAATCCTTATGAGAGACATTGTTTTCACCACCGTAAACAAATATATATAAAAAGAATCACATATATGTGGCTTTAATTGTATTAATTGACCCCATCCTCACTGTTTTGAACCGTGAAAAGCACATTCTTATTCAGACCACGAATTCAGATTTTTATTGTATTCAACAGAAGCCCCAACGTGTCTCATGTTTCATTCCTTTGTCTTTTCTTTTAGGCATTACATTAATTGGGCCTGTAATTGGTTTGGTAAGTTAGGTAGCAGGTGTCCCCTATCTGCAAGGGAAAAAACGAACGAATGAGCATCATAAAGTTGATGAAATTCCCAAGTAATAATAAACAAAGATAAAAGTTCCACTTATGATTAGGTGACTAGTGTTTATAGTTTGAAAACTGTTAATTTTAATTTTTAATACAGAATAATAATAGTATTTTTTAAAATAAACATTTAATAGACCTTTTTATATTTTAATATAATATAAGTTAAAACTTTACTGGATATAAATGTTAAAATTTTATAATTTTTTAATTTATCAAATAATTAATCTTAATCGTCATTTATGGTTTATATGATTTATATTTACTTTTTTCACTCAATTTGAACCATAAATCAATATATGATTAAAAGAATTTTAAAGGTTTGAAGGTGATTGAAAATAATTATACGTGGTTATCGTTAATCTTAATCATTTATATAATATCTAAAAATCTATATTTTCCCCCTCTCATTATACTCTCATATAAAGGCAATTATCTCATTTAACAGACGTAGGCATAAAATTTAGTTTTTCACCCTCGTATTGATGTTAAATATTCCAATGGTTTCTATTTACTGATGTCACCTTTACTTCATCCTCTCTAGTTTTGATCTAATCAATACTAATGCTATATATATATGTGTGAACAAAAACATTTTAATAAATTATTTCTTTTACATCGAAATGTATACAGAATTTCCCGTCCTTCATTGCCTCAGTGGTGAATCAGATCGGTTCCAATCTGAAACGCATTCAAGAATTGGGAGTGAAGAAAATCGTTGTGGGTGGTCTACAACCCCTTGGTTGCCTTCCCTACAACACAATCCAATTCCCATTCCAACAATGCAATAGTACCTTCAACGATCTCACAGTTATCCACAACACCCTCTTGAACCAAACCGTGACCAAATTAAAACAACAAACCAACCATAACACTACGTTCGTGATTCTTAACCTTTACGACAGTTTCATGTCAGTGCTTAACCAACGACAAACCAATAACAACATTGAGAACCGACTCAAGCCATGCTGCGTTGGGATAAGCAGTGAGTACATGTGTGGGAGTGTGGATGAGAACAATGTCAAGAAATATAAGGTTTGTGATAATCCCAAATCAGCTTTCTTTTGGGATCAGTTTCACCCCACGCAAGCAGGATGGGAAGCTGTGTATGACAACCTGCGAAACTCAAGTGCTCTTCAACATTTTCAATACTAACTACCATAAGTGCGATTTGAATTTAAAAGAATTCTATTGTGTAGCCTTTCTTACGCTTAAGTGTGTGTTTCAACCAACTTCTACAGATATGAATTAAAAATATTTGAATATAAAATATAAACAATTATAAGATTTTGTAGATTCTGATTTTAAAAATAAGATAAAAAAAAAAAACTCAATTATTTAGATTAATTTTTCATTCAAAAATGTTTCTATTAATTTAATTGTATAATATGTAACTCATTAAAATTAATTATCATTTTTGTAGACCTTAGAAAGTGCTAAGAAGAAAAACTTGCAACTGTCTGAAGTAGTTATATTAAATGCTTATTTTAATTTTTTACTTTAATTTTAGATAAATAATGCTGTAATTTATAATATTTACTTTTACCGAAAGAAATTAAATTTATTAGATTTAATTATATTTTAAGGTAAGCTAATCAAAGTGTTATATAGTTAGTTAAATTGAACATGAATACGGGTTACCTTTTTTTTATTTTGATAAATCTCTTTCTTTTTTTGTGTTTTTCTTAAGTTGGATTATTTAGGTATTTGATTTCCTAGATTCTTAATATAGGTCCTTATGTTCTGTAATTTCTTCTTGAAAACATTTTCTACCTTGTTCTTTTTCCTGTCAATTTACATTTCAACACCTTTAATTTCCTCTCAATTTTCTTTTCTCACTAAACAAGTTGGCACGCTCAACAACTCTCCAGTGGTGACTATCGATAAATAATAGTTGATAAAATATCATTGCTAGCACTCAGACAAAATGAAAAAACATGTCTTGACAAAAAATATAATAATAAAAATGTCTTGGGAACAAATTTGTCGAGTGAAATTATTATTCTTTAATTTTGAAAATTATATTGTAACAACGTTACCATATAAATTTTTTTCCTTCTGAACATATTTTTATATATTAATTTAGAAAATGTTTTTTTTACTAAAATAAGATCAAACAAACACATACCCTGAATGTCTATTCTTAAATTCAATCATACTACTAGCCTAACTATTATTTTCTATTTAACCTTTTGAACCACAGCTAATCGACAAGTTACACTCAATACTGCACCAACAGAATGTATTTCAATCTTCTTTTTTAATGTCCCATCTTTTATTGGGACTACGAAAGAAAATTTACTTTCTAAGAAAGCAATTAACAAATTTCTCTGATGGATGTAAATATTTATACTTGCCTTATGTGACATTTGTTTGTTGTTTTGGTTTTATCCAAAGTCGATGGTTACCATTTTGTCATCATTGCTCACAACTTTATCATCATCATTAATTACCTATCTATTGATTGTCATTCCACATTAAGCTAATTAATTTTTAAGTTAAGTGTATAATGTCACTCATCGCGTTATAGTGAGCTCATGTCAGACGACAAGGTATGTCCCTTTGATTTGATCGCTATTTGAATATTATCCTGATAATATTGTGTTAAAACCACAAATTATTAGTTAGAAATTATAAAATAGCACATAAATGTCTTTTTCTTCCCTTATCAAGTAGTCACACGCATCCCATCATGTATTTCAACGTGAAAGACCTCAATCCATTTAATCGTGAGATCACCTTGTTAGATTAGTAATTATTGGCGTAAAATGACGTGCGGTTCATTTTTAATTCTTACATTTTACAAATTATAGTATACATTGACTCCTTCTATTCTAAAAAACACTTAAAAAAAATTTAAAGACAAAAATAATAAAATTTAAATAGTAACATAAGTCCTTCAAAATTGATAATTATTTTTAAGAATTAAAAATATATTTAAACATTCATTTTAATATATATACTCCAGTATAAATTATTCATATTTTTATATTATCAACAATTTTAATAAAATATAATTTTTGTTTAACTAAATGTTAAATTATAATTATATATTACTTTAATTATCTGTGTCAAATTTTATAAAATTGAACCATCATAAAAATATAATTAAATTATCTTTATTTTTATATATTTTAAATATATATATTTAAGTTAATTTTGATATATAAAAATAAAGTATTAAATAATTTTAATTGATATAAATTTTATAAATATAATTTATATGATTAAAATTTTTAATTTAACAATTATTTTTTAAATTAAAATATTTAATAAAATAGTATTAAAAGATATAAAAATAATTTCATCTTTTATATATAATCACAAGATGTATTAAATTACACTACTGTCAGCTATATATAGTGTGATTGTGTGAAATTTTGTTAAAATTGAACAACTAAAATAAAATTCTTATTTTTATATATTTTAAATTTATATATCAAGTTAAAGTTGATGCATATAAATAAAATATTAAATAAATTTATATGATTAAAATTTTTAATTTAACAGTTAATTATATAATTAAATTATTTAATAAAAAATTTATTGTACAGCATAAAAATAATTGTAGTTTACACCAGTATTATAATTAAATATTATATATTGTTAAATTTTTATAAAAAATGTGTCCTAAATGTGATTTAAAAAAAAAAAAAAAAACTATTGGCCAATGTGAGTCATGTGACACTCAATGAAAGGTATCGTGACTATCGTCTAACCCACAAATAAGTTGTTCTATCCTGCCGACACTATATCAATTTAAATATTGTATAATAATAATAATAATAATAATAATAATAATAATAATAATAAAACAGAGAAAAAAATCTCACTTTTTTATTCATAATTTTTCTGAATTTTCAAGTTTTACAATCAAAATGCCTTAAAATGGCAAGAAATAAGCATGATGTTATTCTTAATCGCATTCATTTTCAATCATTAATGTATTGATAGTCAACGATAACGAATAAGTACAAATATTGACTTTAAATTCTCTCGAAGTCTTCGTTTATTATATTTATAAATTTTAAAAATGCTAATAGATTAATCTTTGATAATATGTTTGGGAAAATTTACCAAAGTTACTATAGCTAAATCTTTGATAATTATGAACACATCTTACCAGTAATTGACTCTCATGATGCGCTGAATTTATTGCAGAGTTTGTGAAGAGGTCTTTCAACACTATACTTTATGTAAGATTCAATCCTTTGTGCCCTTGCTTTGGTTAGACTTTTATTTTAAATTACAAGAATAGGTAATTGAATCTTTTTAAAATATTTAATATATTTACATTCTTAAAATTTAAATTTAAAAATATCAGTTAAGTTAGGCTTTTTTATTTAAATAATGTAAACTTAAAAACAAATTCTTAATATATAATTTTTTTGAAACAATTTCCTTGTTTGGGGTGTGTCAATCCACGTGGCATTAGTTTCATCAATGCGACTAGCAAAAGTATTAAATTTTTATTTTTTTAAAAATAAATTTCACCACAAAAAATGCGAAATAACCAGATTGTGACATATGTCAACATCTGCAAAATTTTGCAATATGATTGGCGAAATTAAATACCAGTTTCGCCATTCAGAGTGCAAAACTCTCAGATTATGACACGTGTCATGATCTGAGTGAGTTTCGCTATAAAAATTGCACAACTTGCAGGAATCTGACACATGGCACAATTTTAAGCTATTACGCAATTTTACCTTTATTAATTTTAATAACATAATCAAACCAAATCTGATTTAGATTTAGATGCAAATCATTACCACATTTAAAATAAAAATTAAATTACTAACATTCCACTAAAAAATATTTTTTTTATTTACATATAAATTCAAATTACATATTAATTATATAAATTTAAATTACTAACATAATTAAAATTATTACATTATATAGTAAAAACTAGTATTATAGTTTTATAAATTATACCGATCTCATATAATAATAATAGATTTATAAAATATCATGATTATATTATAATATAACAACATGTTATTGTACTATTGTAAGATATTATATTATTTTTAAAAAATAAAATTTCCCAACACAACATAATATAACAATTATTATTGATCATATCAAATAATATATATTTTTATGTTATATAATTTTTTTGTAATATACAAAAAATAATGTTAATCTAAAAATTAAAAATATTTATGCCCATACATTTCAGTGTTAAATTTTATTTAAAATAAAAGAAAATATTTTTAATCTTATTTTAAAATTGATTTAAAATGTTAAAATTATTTTTTAGCAATATTAATATTTATCATATATTTTATATAATTTGTAAATACTAATTTTTAAATAGAAATGATTTTTAAAATAATATTAAATGAGGATGTTTGTAAAAGTATTTTTGAATAAGGGTAATTTTAAGCATTGATTTTTTATTATCATGTTAAATATTTTTTGCACATGAAATATTTTTGTATTTTATATTGATTTTAATCTTATATTTTATAATTTAATTAATATAATAAAATATTTATGGTTAATAATTGTAATATTTTTTAAAAAATTTCTAAAATATATTAAATTTAAAAATAAATATGTAATATATTTTTATTATTGATTTAAAATAATTTAATTTAATTTAAAAATATTAATGTAATATACAAAAAATTTAATAGTAATTTGTATGTAAATATAAAAAATATTTTCTTGTATTATGTTACTATTTTTTAAAAATTTTAATGTAATCATAATTGGTATCTAATTATAAAAATTTTAATTATGTTAATGATTTAAATTTATTTAATTAAGATATAATTTGAATTTATATGTAAATAAAAAAATATTTTCTTATGAAATGTTAGTAATTTGATTTTTATTTTAAATATGATAATAATTTGCATCTAAATCTAAATCAGATTTGGTTTGATTATGTTATTAAAATTAATAAAGGTAAATTTGCGTAATAACTTAAAATTGTGCCATATATCAGATTCCTGCAAGTTGTGCAATTTTTATGACAAAACTCACTTAGATTATGACACATGCCACAATCTGAGAGTTTCGTACTCTGTATGGCGAAACTGGTACTTAATTTTGGCAATCATATTGCGAAATATTTTTTATTATTGACACATGTCACAATTTGATTATTTCGCATTTTTTGTGGCAAAATTTATTTTTTAAAA